GTAGGTTTTCGCGTCGATGACATTTGTCCATAGTTTGGCTTGGAATTACGCGAATGCGGGCGACGCGAATGACTTCATGTATGCTAATAACCATGAGGGGCCCATTTCTCGAAAGGTCAGTAGCTTTTCCTGCGCGGAAAGCTGTTTCATGTTTACCGTCCTTGTATTCAGATCAAAGTTTCAAAAATTTTTAAAATGATACAATGAAACTATCAATTAACGAAGCAAAATTGACTAGTTTGGGAGCTAGGAAACTATGCTACTATTCAACAGGTTTTGAAATTAAATTTTGTGTACCGGACCTTTCGAGAAACGAGTCCCAGGTCGGAAAGAAATCGCTGCTAGTAGGTCTAGTAGGGTATATCCTATCTCCATCAGGAGTAACATCTTTACTCTTTTGCATTTTTCACATTGTTTATTACACCACAAATATAGAGTTTTTCTCTCTCCATACAGGTTAACAAATGGCCGGTGCTATTGATCAAGAACTACAAATTGAGAACTGATTAAAGCTGCATTCAAAGGTGGCCCAAGAGCTAAAAGGTCTTAACGAAGTCACCAATTTTAGGCTTACTCTTTTTCTTTAAAAATCATTTAGAGTGTTAACTTTGCACTCAATAAAGTGTAGCTTCAAAATTTTTCTATTTTTTACTGGTTTAACGGTTGACTTGAGCACGGAATTGCAAACTTTCTTCTTTTGTCCTCAGAGTTCTTTAGAATAATTTATGTAAAGCCTTCAAAAAAGATGAAAACTGGAACCAGCTACCTTAATTTAAAAAGTTGAAAACTGGTACAAGCTACCTAATAAAAAATGTTATTTCATTTTCCACTAAACAAACATTACTTTAGAGACATGAAGAGTATGTCATTAAAATTTTTATTGGATGAAGCCAAAAACTCTCTGATGAAGCTTAACGGATATTGCGATTGTAGAATTGTTATAATAATCTTCACTTCACCGTGTCAAAAAAATGTCGTTATATGACTTATATGGAAAACTAACTCTATCAAGAAAAATATTTCTTTTACTTCTAGCGGCAGTACTACTTCGTATCTACCTAGAGTATGACAGGAGTCAAGAGAGTTTTTGGTCATTCGTTAAGGACAACAATAATTCTACTGAGTGTCGTATTAATGCCAGCGAAAATGCCGTTCACCAACAAAAGAAAATTTTTCTCGCTTTCTTCTATTGGGAACAATTAACAATGGCGACGAATAATCTTCTTCAACTTACAGCCCTCGCTGTGCAAGGAGGGCGACAAGTTGTTGCTCCATTTGTGAAAAATTCTTTGTTTCACGGAGTGCCGAACTCACACGGACACCATACGCTTGGATTTTATTACAACGTTACTGCTATGAATGAATCGCTTCGTTTACACGGTCATGGTACTTTAATAAACTGGGAGGGGTTTCAAGACGTCTGCAAGGGAAAACTGGATGTTTTAGTATATTTTCATTATACAAATCTAACGAACTCCACGACAAACAACCTTTCTACGTCGTACAATCCTTGCAAGCTTGACCACAAAAACGTTTTTCTTGGCATCAAGATCGGTAGAAAGATTTGTGTCAATGCTAATGCCTTCAGTTCAGTTCAAAGATTTGAAGACGAAATGGTTAAGAGGCTCCCGTGTGTTGGTATTTTTGAATGGCGAGGAGCAAGTAAAACGAACCCCAGAAGAACACATTTTGATATTGAGTCAAAAGTAGAAAAGCTCCTGTCTTATCCCGACATGAACGCTTTCTTCAGTGCAAAACTTGTTCGCGTAGCTCGAGATTTCATTACGCAAAATCTCAGTTCAAACTTTATTTCCGTACACATTCGCACGGAAAAGATTTTATGTGCTGGGAGAAATATTTCCACCATCAGAAGGTGTTTAGTAAAGTTGAGGAAGAGACTTCAGAGTATTATTCAAGTAGCTACTGTTCCTCCTACAATATTTTTGGCTGCTGATTTCAGAACGTTTGGCTCCTCCTCAAAAACTATGAAACCAGTTCAAAAACATGCCAAATCCTTCATGAAAATACTCCTTCCGCTAAAGTCCATTACTTTTCAACCATCAGAATACAAGATTGTTGATCGAGGAGCCGTAGCCATTGTGGAAATGAATATTCTAGCATCAGGGAGGCGCTTATTTCTTCTTGGAGGTGGATCATTTCAAACTTGGATGACGACGCAATTTCGTGCCAAGAATAAAAATGAACAAAGTAAAGTAGAACGCATCGTTTGTTAACCGTTTGAAAACATTTTTCTTATTTTAAAAAATAAATGCAGCCAGCAAAGCCGGGGTAAACAGTTGGAATTTTATATTGATATTGGACACTTGTAATAGTGGATCGTGATCCCACAAAAGATACCAAAGAGTCTCAGCTTGATGGAACGCGCGAGTGATCTTCCGACACTAGTGACAGTCTCATGAACCGGCAAAAATTACCTTGCTGACATTTAAAGTATATCATAGCAATTTTGATTAGATTACCAAGCACTAGACTGTTCACCCTATTTTTTTGTGAGATCGTCAAGATATAGCGCGTCTTACCGTTAATGGCGGCCATCTTGATTTTCAAATGTACCGAGGGGGCGGGCGTCGGGGATTATAGCTGTAGGGGGAGCGGGTGAGAAAAATAGAGCACAATAATGAGCAGTATAAAGTAGAACGCCTTATAGTTTGATAGCCGCGGGACTGCATAAAGAGGAGTTGAAATATTAATTGAAAATTAATAATTTTGCTGTGTTTCAGAAAGCGTAGTATTTAAAGCTTAAATAAAAAGTTTACTTATCACCATAATGCGCTCTTTTGATGGCTTTTTGATGTTGTTGGACTTTACCTTGGACAAAAGACTGCCCCTTTTTCTTCGATGTCCTCAGCTACGACAGAATTGGTGTCTGCTACTGAACCAATGATAATCGTTACCTTGAAATTGAACTCTTGGAATAGGAATCTTCACTAAATTCTATTCACTTGATGAAACAAGGCTTGGTTGTCTTTTGATCTAGAATAGGCAGAATGCCTGCCAATGGTCGAATCATTTTCGGATCAGGGCCCGTTGCTTAATCGGACGAGTGCTAAGCCTTTTGTGTCAAAGGCGGTTTCAGTATCTCTGACTCCGGTGCCCTGCCTGGGTGCTGGAAAGTGGTTGGTACATTTTTGTATGGGCTCGATTCACGATCGACCGCTCGCTGAGTAGTACCGACTGTCCATGTTGAAGGTAGTAGTATTGGTGTCCTCGTGTCTTAGTGCAGTTCCTGTGGAATTGCTGGTAATCGTAGTCTAACTGACGCAGAAAATTTTGGACCGATTTTCGTCATGCTTGATAGTCCTTTGGATAACGGTGTTATTCTCAGAGGTTATATTATCTAGGAATTGATGGTGTTTTTGGCACGAATGTCTCCTCCTTTACTACTATTATTACTGTTATTACTATTATTACTTTATTACTATTGAGCTAATGGTTCCGAGCAAAGTAAAAATACAACTTATTGAAAATTATATGTCGTCTTTAAATGAGTTCAAGAGCTTTGCAGCTTCGTACTTGATGGACTTGAGTCCATAAGAGGTTGTCCTAGGTTCAGGTAAGCTTATTAGTACATTATTCCCTCTAAAAAAATATGTGGAGCTGCAAAGAGAGAACAGTTTCTTAAGATATCCCTTCCTTGTCTTTGATCTGCCCTCCCTTCTCTTCCAGTATTGTCGTTTGCTTCGTTAGATTTCTTTGAGTGAAGAAACGGACGATAAGTTTTCAAAAATCATTTGAGCTTGCTGTTTTCGATTTACTGAGAAAATATGCCTTGGCTGCCTTTCGTCTCAGCGAAGTACAGTTTAGTATCATGATTGTCTGGGTAAGAGAGTAGTCCTATATAACACTTTCGTTGACATTTGACCGACTTTTTGACAGCCGGTGTGGACGTCATTGTGAGAGTCAAATTGAGTTGCATATCATAAGTTGCTATTGTCCTGATTGGTCAACTATGTCTGAAGTTTATATTTGTTCCCGATATTGGTCGCTTCTATTTTTTGCTATGAAGATTCTAAATGTGAGTGGCGCGTTTCGATCTGTCGTTTCCCATCGATCATTTTACTGTTACTCAACTTGTGGGGTTTTTCTGTGTCCATTCACTCTGTCGTTTTCTGTTTTGCTTGAGTTCGTCACTAAGTCGCTTGTTAAGTGAGTCGGTGGTACTGTAGTGAGTTTGTAGCATACGTAGTGCATTGAACAAAGTGTATATAAGAATATGCAAAATGATTTAATCATTCTATAAATGTCGATTCATTAAAATAAACGTCTTTTCACCGATTAACCGATACCCAGCAAATTATTTAAATCTTAACTGAATCGTAACCTCACAAAAAGGTGCCAAAGTACAACAGTTTTAAGCCCGTGCGTGGTCCGTTTTCGACTTTAACGATTTTTAAGTAGGTAGCTTAAGAGGAGACCAATCTCATGAACAAATATTACCTTGTTAACATGCAAAGTTAAGTATGTCCGGCTTGGAATAATTTTTCGATAACAGATGTTGCAGACTGTTATACGTTCCTTTAAAAACTGCAATCTTAGCTTGACCGTTTCCAAAACATGTCGTTTTATAAGCAACCACTGAATGAGTTTCTATCGAGGACAATATTTTTTTTGTTCATAGCAACAGTGGTGCTTTGTATATACCAAGGATACGAAATTCAGGTGATACTCAAGCCACAAATCGACGACAACAACAGCCCCATCATCGAGCGATTACACTCCTATGATTCCAGTGAAGTTGAAAGTGCTGTTCACCAACAAAAGAAAATTTTTTTCGCTTTTTTCTATTGGGAACAATTAACAATGGCAACGAATAATCTTCTTCATCTTTCAGCCCTCGCTGCCCAAGGAGGGCGCCAAGTTGTTGTTCCTTTTGTGAAGGATTCTCAGTTTCGGGGTGCACCGCAATCGCAGAGAAAACAACGGAACCATAAGCTTGGACTTTATTACGACGTCACTGCACTTAATGAATCGCTTCGTTTACACGGCTATGGAACTTTAATAAACTGGGAGGGGTTTCAAGACGTCTGCAAGGGAAAACTGGATGTTTTAGTATATTTTCATTATACAAATCTAACGAACTCCTCGAGCAACAACCTTCCTACCTCCAACGTTCCTTGCAAGCTTAACCAGAAACACGTTTTTCTTGGCATCAAGATTGGCAGGAAAATTTGTGTTGATGCTAATATTTTCGATTCTGTTCAGAGATTTGAAGACGAAATAGTTGAAAAGCTTCCTTGCGTTGGTATTATGCAATGGAGAGGAACAAGCAAAACTAAACCCTTTAGAACGCATTTTAATATTGAGTCATTAGTAGACAAAGTTCTGTCTTATTTAGACATGGGCGCTTTCTTTAGTGCAAAACTTCTTCGCATAGCCCAAGATTTTATAGCGCAGCATCTCACTTCAAATTTTATCTCCGTACACGTTCGCACAGAACAGATTTTAGTGACGGGAGGAAATATTTCCACAGTCAAGAGATGTTTATTTAAGTTGAGGAAGAGACTTCAGAGTATTATTCAATTAGCAACTGTTCCGAATCCTCCAATATTTTTGGCGGCTGATTTCAGAAAGTTTGGGTCTTCCTCAGCAACTGTGAAACCAGCTCGAAAACATGCCAAATCCTTTATGAAAATACTACTCCCCTTAAGGCCGATTGTTTTTCAACCCTCAGAATACAAGATTGTCGATCGAGGAGCCGCAGCCATCGTGGAAATGAATATTCTTGCATCAGGAAGGCGCTTATTTGTTCTCGGAGGTGGGTCATTTCAACTTTGGATAACGAAGCAATTTCTTACCAAGAATTACAATGAACAAAGTAAAGTAGAGCGCATCGTTTGTTAACCGCTTGAAAACATTATTCTTATTTTTAAAAATGAATGTAAGCTAGTATCTAATGACCAGCAAAGAGTAAAACCGTGGAATTTTATATTGGACACTTTCTCTCAAAAGGTGCCAAAGAGTCTAAGCTTGCTGGAACGCGTGAGTGATCTTCCACCTCTAGCGACACAATCCCGTGAACAGGCAAATATTACCTTATTGACATGTAAAGTATCATTGCAATTTTGATTTAATCAAAATATAGATGCTGCGTAAAGTATGTTGTCGCAGTCAATTCTTCAACGTCTGATAACTGTACTCTTAAATTGTGGCTGTGTCCAAAAAATGATGTTCTATAGGCGAGCACTGAAGTTCCTTTCAAGAAAAAAACTTCTTTTACTTCTTACAGCAGTGGTACTTTCTATTTACCTGGGTTATGAGCGTCGGTATAGTAGTAGACCTTTAGTTAAGGATAACAACGGTTTTGTAGATATTTACAGGGGATTGCGATCACCAGATAGCATCACTGAGCGATTACAGTCCACCCATGCCACAAGTCATGCCGGTGAGGCTGAAAGTTCCGTTTACCGACGTCAAAAAATTTTTCTCGCTTTCTACTACTGGGAACAATTAACAATGGCAACAAATAACTTTCTTAATCTTACAGCCCTCGCTGCCCAAGGAGGTCGCCAAGTTGTTGTTCCATTTGTGAAAGATTCTCATTTTCGCGGTGTACCAACCTACACACACAATACGCTTGCACTTTACTACAACGTTTCTGCACTTAATGAAACGCTTCATTTACACGGTTATGGAACTTTAATAACCTGGGAAGGTTTTCAAGATGTTTGTAAAGGAAAAGTGGACGTTTTGGTGTGTTTTTATTACACAAAGCTAACAAGCTCCACGACCAACCTCTCCACGTCGTGCGTTCCCTGCAAGCTTAACAACAAGAACGTTTTACTTGGCATCAAGATCGGCAGAAGAATTTGTGTCAACTCTAATTCCCTCGATTCAGTTCAGATATTTGAAAGCGAAGTAGTTAAAAATCTACCGTGTGTTGGTATCAGGGAATGGAGAGGGATAACAACAACAATAACAGCCAAAAGAACACATTTTGATATTGAGTCAAAATTAGACAAAGTATTGACTTCTCAAGACATGAGCGCTTTCTTCAGTGCAAAACTTCTTCGCGTAGCTCGAGATTTCATTGCGCAAAAACTCACTTCAAACTTTATCTCCGTACATATTCGCACAGAAAAGATTTTATCTGCTGGAGGAAATATTTCCGTTGTCAAAAGGTGTTTATTTAATTTGAGGAAGAGACTTCAGAATACTATTCAGGTAGCAATTGTTCCCCCTCCCATATTTTTGGCTACTGATTTCACAACCTTTGGGTCTTCCTCAAAAAAAGCAATACGAGCTCGGAAATATGCCAAATCCTTCATTGAAATACTACTTCCTCTAAGGCCCATTGTTTTTCGACCATCAGAATACAAGATTGTTGATGGAGGAACCGTAGCCATTGTGGAAATGAATATTCTAGCATCAGGGGGGCGCTTATTTGTTCTTGGGGGTGGGTCATTTCAACTTTGGATAACAAATCAGTTTCTTACCAAGAACAAAAACGACCAGAGTAAAGTAGAACGCCTTGTTTGTTAACCGCAGACCGCTATCAGAGAAAGTTGATAGTGCACATCGCCCGACTGCTCTCTGTGTCAACGGCGGTGCTATCTCACTTCGTTAAAGAGTGATAGCTTAAGACCCAAACTAAGCGCGCGCTCAGCTGTGGGTTATTTAGGGGGACAAGTCCAGCAGTCACCTTTATATGACGAGAGATGCAAGTTGTGTACTTTTTGTGCACAAATAACTTGAAGAACTTACCGGTCCAAGCATACTCTTACCTTTTTGCGAGCTGCGTTCCCGGACAGAGCATACTTACCTTTGTACGATCGAGCTACGTTTTTCCCGGTTGTTTTGGCTCCACGGCAAAGAAGCCATCCCTGAAGCTGTTTCACGGTGAATCTTCTGGTTTTTCTCCAGGTAAAATTGCCCCAGGCACATCTTCTTCCTTCAGCTTCACATTTTCATGTTTTTTCTTTCAATTCCACATTCCGTTTTGCTATTTTGAGGGTGGTTTGGGTGGGGTACTAAGCCTCGCGTCATGGTCTGGACCTGGTCTCGGTCATTCTTATTTAAGGATTTTCGTTTTAACCCCGCTGAAATATTCCACTTCGCTTTCTGCCACGTTTGTTTTAATACATTCGCCTCTTCCCAAATAATCCCATAACTCCGCGTGCGCCTAGTTTGGGTCCCAGGCTATCACTCTTTTCCTAAGTGAGCTACAAAAACGTCACTGAAACCTGATTACACGTCCTAAAACTGTTTAGTGATCATATAATTGAAAGCCTATTTTTCTTAGTTCTTACTCGAAAGAAGATGCGACTTGAGTAAATAAAAGGGGGTGAAAAAGGATCAGATCAAGGAGCGAAGAAATGAAAACAGCAAATCGAACGACATGGCAAGAATCATCAGATTGCAGGAAGACGTCAGTCAACGCCCAGCCGGCGAAGCGGCGTGCGTTGGTTTTTAACTTTCTGTTGCCTTCCCCGTTAATTCTTCAGGTTTTTTAAAGTAAAGCAGTAAATTTTTAACCCCTTTCAGACTGAATCTTGGCAACATTAGCTGCTTGCCTTAATGGTCCTGAATCTCCAATGACATACAGCCATTTTAAGAAAGGTTGTCGGCAAAAATGTGCGCGCGACAATCCCGAAAGGTAATATGGGATATGATTAATACACTGTTTCTGGCACTGTAGCTGTCTAAAATTCTTTTTTTGCTCTCCTTTAGCACTCGCAAACATACGTCCATGGCCTCTCGTGCCCCTAAAAACGCCTGCGTGGGAGGCTAGGTGAAGTTAAAATTATTATAATAATTCTACAATTACAGTATCCGTTAAGCTTCGTCCAAAATAAATTTTAATTACAAACTCTGCACCTCATTAAGGTAATGTTAGTTTAGCGAAGATGAAAATGGAACAACATTTTCTATTAGGTAGCTTGTACCAGTTTTCAACTTTTTAAATTTAGCTAGCAATGTCCTTTTTAGGGTTTTACAGAAATTACTTTAAAGAACTCTGAGAACAAACTAAGAAGGCTTGCAATTCCGTACTCAAGTCAACGGTTAAACCAGAAAAAAAATAGAAACATTTTGAAACGAAACTTCATTGAGTGCAATTACCTTATAGTGATTTCCGATCTGGGGCTCGTTTCTGAAAAGGCCCGATAACTTTACGGACCGGAAGACAAAATTTAGATTCAAAACCTGTCGAATTTTCCTACGTTTATTGATAGTTTCATTGTTTCATTTTCAAATTTATTGAAACTTTGATCTTGAACGAACAGACGACAAACATAAGATTGCTTTTCGGGCCGGAAAGGCTACCGGGACTTTCGAGAAACGGGCCCTTGGTTTTTAGCATTTACGAAGTCGTTGGCGTCGCATTCACGTAGTTTGCTTGTATTGTCTTTCGAACGTAAACAAGCTAACCTATAAACGAATGCCATAGGCGCACCGAACACCTCCATGCACGCACGCTAACATACCTACTGGAAAGAAACCTCTATTAGTTAGACTTTCAAAAAAGTCCTTCGTCGGATTTCATATGGCCAGGTTAATTGTTTATCATTTACCAGTGACGGATCCCCCCCCCGCCCCCGCACCTTATTTTTAGACCAAACTGAGGCCCAAAGGGCCGAAAAATATTTTTTTGGAGAAGGAGCGAAGCGAGCTCAGTGGTGGCCTGGGCAGGGGGAAAGGGCGCCACCCTTTCGCTGCCACCCTTTCCCCTCCCCAGACTACCCCTAGGCTCGCTTCGCTCGCCAATGTTTTTTCCTTTTTTTCCCCAATGCGAAGCCTGGTCCTAGGCTAATGCATAGCTAAGAAGGCCGATGTGCCGTCCTGATACTCTTTGAAACAAAATCTTTAATATCTTGACTTCACCTTTTGCGATCGGTCTTTTCGACTGAACAATGTGCCCAGAGGATACAGTAAAACCCGCAACTCGGCTAAGAACCTAAAAATTAAGAACCTGTTAGCCTAAAATTGGTCATTTATACCCCCTATAAACAAGAACCTATTTGGCCTAAGAAATTTAAAACAGGGTCTTATTTTCTAAAATCATACTAGTACATTACAGCTGCATTGCAAGAATCATATTTGAAGCAAAAAAAGCAGATTGCCATTGTTGTAAAAATGTTTTTTAAAGAAAAATGAGTGCAAGATATGTAGACCTACAAAGCATACTAAGCAATATGTAGATCAGCACACCATTATGCATTAAAGCTAGTAATAATAATAATGATAATATAAAAATAATTGATGTAGTTTCTCTATCAAGTTCCAGGTTAAAAAGAAGACATTGATGCATACGATACCAACTTGTTTGCAGCTGTATTTTAATTGTTTTTTCTCCAGGATTAAGAACCCATTTTAAGAACCTAATTAGCCTAAGATACTGTTAACTAACATTTATATAAGAACCTGTTTAGGGTAACTCCTAAAAATTTTATTACTCAGGGCTTGAGCTAGCCTGTTCCAGGCTCCGAGATAGTCGGGTCCGCTGAATTGAGAAAGCGCGAAGATGAAAGAAAGAAAAAAAATACACGGGTGGAAACTGAAGAGAGGAAGGGCGGGTATCCCTTCCTTTTTCCTTTTTCTTGCTCCGCCAACTTTTCGCTTGCCTTTCACTTTCGCGTCTTCGCTACTATCTGAGAGCCTGGAACAGGCTAGGCTAGGTTCGAGCCAGCTACCAAGAATTTCAGTTTGGGAAATTCAAAATGAATCCATTGTTTCATTGCTAGTGCCAGGGGCAGATCCAGGATTTTTTTTAGGAGGGGGTGCACTCGTCTCTTGCTCTACTTCAACACCAATAAACCACGTATTTTTTTTTGGCAGATACCAGTTGTATTAGAAAACCCCAGGTCATCTCAAGGGGGGGGGGGTGCGCACCCCCTGCACCCTCCCCCCTAGATCCGCCCCTGAGTGCCGAGAAATAGGGCTACAAGTAAAATAAGTAATAACAAACCTTCATCTTTATCTAATACAGCTGTGGTCAGTCATTTTTCCAAATCTTTGTTGTACTCAAACTTGGGAGGTGTTGTCCCTGAAATAAACCAGAGGCATACAACCATGATATATGCTTCTGAATAAACCCATCGGGTCACCTTAAAACCTCTAAGCCTCAGCTTTCGTCACTCAGCGTATTTTCAACGTCGGTTGCTGAAAGGACAATTAGATTTTTGACCGTATACATTGTAGAGGAAATCAGTTTTTTTTATAGACAATTGGGGTCATCATACGTTTCACTGGAAAACTGCCTACCTACCCCTTCCTAAGCCAACATCAACACTTACTTCTTACTTAGGGTAAAATGTTTGCTTAGTGCAGGGGTAGGTAGCCTGCGAGCAAGCTCTCCTATTTGGGCAAGCGAAGCGAGCCTCGCTTCTCTCCTTTCCTCTGCCCCTCGCGGCTTCGCCGCTCGCTCGCGCGTTCTCTCGAGACTCGTTTCACTCTTCCAAATAGGAGAGCTTGCTCGCAGGCTAGGGTAGGTTAGCCTGTGAACAGGCTCCCTGTTTGCACAGGCTAGGGTAGGTAGGAAGTTTCCCAGAAACGTATTATTGTTGTGCATTGGACTTAATTCTTCTGTTTATCCGGCAAACCGAAGTTTAAGCACCTCTATGTGCCCACCTTGGATAGAAGAGTTTCCGTTTCAAGCAGTGCATCATCATATCAAGATGGGAAGTCCAATATCGAATGTCTCTAACGGTCACGTACACGTATTCTGGTTACATATGGCATTTATTGTCTTTTGAAGAACAGTTGTCTGAAAAAGATAAGTAGTTTGTCGTATTAGATTGAGTAGCTACCATAAGTCTTCTCCTGTCAGAGGATCAGTTAAGTCGATCTCCGAATTCAGAGCAAAAACGGTAATTATTGAAACAATTGTACTTGCTTTTTGTTGATAAGTGTAGCCTTAGGAATTTAGTTTTATTGTTTTTAAAGACGTTTAGCCAAGCGGGATTTTTGCCAACTTTAAATTCACAATGCAAGTTCCTACAGATTCCTTATTGAAAGTTAGAAATATTTGAAATTATTTAGAATTATAGTAATCAGTGGATTGGAGCCTTGTCTACATGAGTCAATCATGATGCTCGGTAGACGGGTGTGTTAGAATTGATTGAAATGGTCAAGAAAACAGGGACTGCGGTGAGGATGATCTGAAACCCGAAATGGGGTGAACATATATACTGGGTACTTCCTAAAATGGGCGCCTATATGGGGAGGCTCCACTCGAAATTAAAGGGTTTAAGGTTATAACAGGGTAGGGATTTCAATGAGGGTGAGGAAATCTGTTATTTCAGTATTTAAAAGGCGGCCCTAAAGGGCAGAAGGCGTTTATGGCTGTGAAGTGGAAAAGTAATTCCTGGTTTAGCGATTGATTCATATTTAAAAGACAGTGAATTTACGGCAACTAAAAGGGATGTAGCATTCCAAACTAGTAAGAAAGGGGTACCAGTTCAGAGCATTTCCACTTTTGGAAATGTTTTCCTAGCCTTGATTTTTAAGAGGTGGGATGGGGATCTTAATTTTCCGCCTATTTC